ACGATAATATTTCAACAGCTGGATTGAAGACAACATAAAAAAAAACATCAAAAGGCGCAAGTTTTATGCAATTTTAAGAAGAAAAAATTACAAAAGTCGCGGTTATTTAGTAACAAATCCACTCTTCTTTTTTATACACAGTAAATTTTTCTCAAGAACAGCTATTTTCGTTTTTTAACGGTTTTTGTTATATGTTCATTAACAGACTCTTCCATTAATTTTCAAATCATTGCCTTCATTAACAAAATGTTGTCCAGCTCTAATTGCAACCAACACTCTATAAGGACAATGGTGATTTTTAAGGTTTTTGATTTAAAATAGAAGAAACCGAATGCTGCTCACTCTGCTTAATCTGGGGTGTGGCCTACCTGCAAGATGCTCTCTAACCCGCAGAATTTACAAAATGACCTCTGAACCTCAAAAACCAAGCTCTGAACTTAGCATTCTTGCTTTCTCTGATGATATATAATTCATACTTAAACAGTTAAATATTTAATGTTTTCTGGAATGTACAAACAAACACATCAAGTCCAAAAATTTTATCAAAATAACGAAGTTTTCAGAGTTGTGAAGTTTTGCTTAAATCATACAGCTAGCAGAGAACTAAAAAATTATAAAAATAAATTTTCTCTTTTTAAATGACAGTTATACTGACAATTTTAGAAATTAGTGATATTTAGAAAATCAAAATTGAAAGCCAATTTAATCTAATTAATATTTGAAATTAATACCGAAATTTTGTCTCTAAAACTATTTTGTGTTGCATTATATAAAGAAATATTTTATTATTTTTATTTGGCAATTGGCACGCCACAAAAGTCCATAAAAAAAATCGAAAGGCAGAGACAGGTCTGCACAGTGCACACCTACTTCTCTGGATTCTAAATCATAGTTTCCTTTATCTGTCAACAGTAACAAAAATGAAGGAATAGAAAATCTCCGAAAATCCTTAAAAATCAGTGAAGTGTCGGAGTTCGGATTTACATTTTTTGGCTCTTGGAGACCTATAGACATTATCTAACATATTTTGTGATTTTGACGGGGTAACTTTTCTTCAGGGCTAAACCCCATTTTTGACACCTGTCCCCCCGGCCCCCACCCCCTTACCCCCAAGATCAGTTAAAAGATATATCGATTGGGATTGGGTTCTTGGAGAAATTTATGAGGAAAAAAACCATTTGTTTGGGGCACCCCTGCTTGAAATAAAAATATTTTTTATGCATGAGTATGATGAGACAGAGTGCAGGCCTGAAAAGGGCGTGGTTTAAGAAATGTTCAAACTAGTTACTTAACAATTCAATCTGATGTTGTTTTATATATTAACCCTGAAAGGGACTTTAAGCGTTATTTTAAAGGAACCCTCCATGTAAAGATGACAATGCCTGATCTAAAACCAACAGATAGATGCCAATATCTACTCCCTTCATCCTGCCACCCTTCACACATAACTACAAACATCCCCTATAGCTTGCGTTATAGATTAGTTAGAATTTGTTCTGATCGTTCCACACTTATATCTACTATCCAGAGCTGAAAACTTTAGAATGTGATATCCTTAATCCCGATTTGTTATTTAATCTGAAGATTAAATTCATGAGGACAGCAAGCAATATTTAATCTGGAGATTAAGAAAAAGAGTGGATCAAGCATTAATCCCGATATCCACCATTCTAAAGTTCCCAGCTCAGGTTAGAGGAACTCAAAGATCTTCCTTCTATTATTGACTCTGCTATTGCCCGAGCTCTGTTGATTCCAAGGGCAGAAGTATTAAAAAAAGTAGTGGCAGAAAAAACGGATAGGGTGGTTTTTGTCACAACTTTTCATCCAGCCCTACCTTCTGTATCCAATATTCTAAATAAGGCATGGAAGGTCATGAATAAGGATTCTCATATGAAGGATGTCTTCCCTTCACCTCCTATGATTGCATTTAAACAGGCAAGGAATAGCTCTAATTACGGAATCTGCTCGTGAAAACCAAGCTACCTGAATCTACTCGAGATCGTAGAAAGATTGTAGGATTGAAGAAATTTAGAAAAGCAAACTGAGTTTTTGTTCCTGTAGTTCTGAACACTTAATTGTTGAAAGATTGTAGGAATGAAGAATTGTAGAAAAGCAAACTGTTGTTGATGTCCCTGTAGTTCTGAACACTGTATTGTTGAAAGCTGAGCAACAAAGTAGATGCAAAGTAGATTGTAACTCTGAAAATATTGTATACACTACATTGCATGCAAAAAAGATAACTGCAAACAGCATTAAATTGGTGAAACTGGTCGAAAATTTTAAGGCTGGACTAAAAAAACACATTTGTCTGATATCAGAAAAGAAGACCAGAGTAAACCTGTTGTAGCACACTTCAACCTGCCAGGACATATTATGTCGGACCTGGAGGCTACTATATCGGATAAGTGTAGGGATAAGTCTAGAACCTACAGAATAGTTAGAGAATCTTGGTTCATCCACAAGTTTAAATCTAAAATCTGTGGAATAAACAGAAAAATGTAAAATTATAATTGCCTTTTTTATTGTTTGCTTTTAGATGAATGTTTGGTTATTTTATTTGTTTTGTTTTTTTCCTTTGTTTTGTTTTGTTTTTATTGTCTTAATTTTTTTGCCAATATCAAAATTTTTTTCAAAATTTATTTTTCCTTTTTTATAACCCTGTGATGTTTTTATTTTGATTTAACATAATACCTGCATGTATACCTAGGGTTGTTAATCGTTTTTGTAAACGATCGTTAAACGATCGTTTTTTGTTTCGTTTTCAAAAACGATCGTTTCGTTTCGGAAAAAACGATCGTTTTTAAAAACGACCCGCTCGTTTTGAACTTTTAGAAAACGAATAGTGATCGTTTTTGAAAACGATCGTTTTTATTAAAACGATTTGCGACCGTTTTTTATACGATTGTTTTTAAAAATTTTTATTGATAATAATGTTAACGATCGTTAAAGAAGGGTCGTCGTTAACGATCGTTAAAGAAGGGTCGTCGTTAACGATCGTTAACGAAGGGTTGTCGTTAACGATCGTTAACGAAACGACGAACTTTATCAAAACGGTCGTTTTTGGAAAAAAATTACATGCAACTTTATTGAATGTCGTCTTACATGAAGTTTAACAGTTGTGGGGGAGTTAAAACTCCTTGTTATTTTCTTAAAAACTACTCAATAATAATAATGCCCTTAAGGTCGGTTTTCTCTCATAGTTAACGATCGTTAACGAAGGGGTCGTCGTTAACGATCGTTAACGAAGGTCGTCGTTAACGATCGTTAACGAAGGGTTGTCGTTAACTGTGGGAGGGGGGGGGGGCCTTCCTCCCCCGTCTACAGCGTTCTCAGGGTAAAACTATTAATTTTGTTCAGATGTATTGACATGGTGAATATTTCAGAGAGTCTTTACAATAGATTAGTTTTCAGTATAGTTCCCAAATTCTTTATTCCCTGATTTACCCCTTTGAAAAAAAAAACAGTTTTGCGGTGGAATAAAATTGTAAATACGTGATTCAAGTTCAAGACTCTTATATACAGGGTGTCCCAATAAACATGGAAATTTAGGAACGATTGTAAAACCGTCTTGTAGATCTTTTTTATTTTATTTAGTATAGTGAATTGGTTAATGTTTTGATCGTCACCATGCAAGAATTGTGCACATCCTAATCGGCACTGCATATTTGCATAAAATTCTGACATAATTTTTTTAATTAAAATAGTAAAACATTATAATCTTAAAATAAAACAAAAAATGCAATCAAAACATGTCAATATGAACAGAAGTGAACATATCGATAGTTCCGATGACATTAGTTCAAGTGACTAACCACCAAAATGAATAACTTGTGGATATATTTGAAGTGCAGATTTTCAACAAGGAACAATTTTATGGAATATATAAATAAGAGTTCACTTGTACATGGTTTACCGTTACACATCGTCTAAATCATACTTTATCATTTTTAGGTTGAATAAATGCATACTACAATTTAAAAGATTAAGGTTATAACATGAATGTCGTCTTCTAAAAACCAGTGGCAATTGCCAGGGTTTGCACTACTCTTGCAGGGGGATTGTGCATATTGTTTTACTTTGTTAAGTAAGAAATACACGCCTACGAACCTATTACAATTGGTTCCTTTTAACTGTTTACTTTGCAGAAATGTTGACAATGCGTATGACATTCGTATTTGTACGTATTTTCAGTTTTGGCATACGTAAAGATATGTATTTTCCATACGTATGATATTTTGGTAAAAATACGTATTTTATATCTGTATATGACATGGGTAAAAATGCCTTTGTAAAAAAGCAAAAAATTCAATGAATCTGGAATTTTTAGGGTTTTCCCATACGTAGATTTAGATTTGAAAAAATCATAACATTTCTTAATTTTTGGAATTCATAGGTTTTACCTAAACGTAAAAATACGTAATTCTAAGGCATTTTCAAGTTTTGAAACCAAAATGTTAAGAAGTTGATGACTATAGTTGTGCATGCACATTGTTCCTTCATTTCCATACAACTAATTCAACAAACTTTTAAACTCTAAAAAAATACAATTTTTTAATAAAGAAAAAGCCGAAAAAATACGTAAAAATACGTTAAATAAAAACCTTAAAACTTATATACATATACCTATATAGAGCCTTTAGTATTTTTATGTTTTGGTTTGTAGGTCATGTTTATTTGGGACAACCTGTATACCCGAGAATTACACAAAAGATGGGAGGAGCCCTGCAGAGTGCAGACACAGCGTACAGGGTTTCATTCTTACTAAAGTTCCTATAAAAAAAATAATTGGCTTTTTTCATTTATTTTATGTTTTTCCTCAGAAAAAAAACTAATAAGTAACTTTTATAGTTTGAAACACTTAGAATTTGCTGAAAAAGATAGAATCTGAAAATTCTTAAAGCTCTTTTTTGCAGATAGCTCCCTTCCCCCCCCCCTGCTTAAATTAGTCCCTCTAGTTGAAATCTCCGAAATAGTCCCCTGTCCTGTAGGAGGAGTATATAAAACTACGATAGTGCTTTATGCTACGCTCAGATCTTTACAAAGGCAGGACATGAGAGGATACAATCTTGTAAGAAAGCTCTATATCTATTTATCTATCTTAAGATTTTTTTTAGTGACCAACCTTTAAATTGAAATAGATTTTTAAAAGTGAACTGAAGGATGCTAATAGTTTATCTACTTTCAAATGGTGTATAGTTTTCTGGTGACCACCCTTTATCATTTATGACAAGTCAAAAATAAAAATTGAAACATATTTTAAACGTGAACTAAGTCAAATTTAAAGGTATCAAAACATTTCTTTTTTTTTTATCGATTTATTCTTTTATTCAGTTTTATAAATGACAAGATGATTTATTAACTGTTTCCTTCGTTTTATAATCTTTGACTTTTATAATAATTAATTCTTAGGTTTTCATAATAGCAATAATTGATAAAGAAGCAAAATCGTAATTGGAATTTTAATTAGGGAAATTGATCCAAGAATCCTTATATATCAAAATATGCGTACTGCAAATTATGGGAGAAATCGATATTTTTATAAATTCAGTTCAGCTTAATCTGAATGTTGTGAGTTTATGTATTCCAAAAATTGCAGTACACTTTTTGTATCCTGATGTCCAATAAATCCTATGAGTAAACATTACCTTGTAAAGTTAATGTCGAAAAGAAAACAAATTGATGTGAGACCAATACAACTGTGGAATAGGAAGACGACATTTCAGCAATCTTATGTTTATTCACTACAGTGATAACCAGAAAACTCAAGTTTTTAGACTCGAGTAATAACTTTAACTAGTCCATTGAACATGAGACACAGCAATTGTGAAGCTTAAACAGGAGCTAAGAAAGCTCATAAATTGTAACAACGTCAAATTAACATCGCTATTGCTTTAATGTCGTCTTCCTATTCTACAGTTTTCTGGTTATCACTTTAATTCAAACAAACAGCTTTAAAATTAGTTCTTGAAGTGGAGTGGGTCTGATACACTGCACAATTGCTGTGTACAATGTTTCCCAAAAAACATGGGAATTTAGTGACAAATTCGATATCGTCTTTGTTATAAATTATTATTGTAATACCTAATTTCAAAAGCCATTACATTATTTTGTCTGCTAGAGTTTTTTTTATGAAAAGGGTAGAAGACTGTTATAAAGATGTGTCTCTAATGTCTCCGCAAGCTGAACAGTGAAGACGGACAAGTTTGTATACTGCAATTTTCTTGTTTTACTAAGTACAACCGTATGCAGTCAAAACATAAACAAACAAAATGTGAAAATAGCAGACGAAACTCTTACAGATTACAGCTTTCTCTGTAGGTATCACTCCACTAAATCAAAGAATTATTTAAAAAGACGATATCGAATTCGTCACTGAATTCCCATGTTTATTGGGACACCCTGTACATTGGACTATTTAAGATTTCTTTTCATCACAGTTTTATGAAGTCCACTGTAAGTTTATATTCAACCTAACCTTACTCAGAACCAGCTATGCTAAAAGATGCAACAAGAATTAAAACCCAAAATACTGTTGAATGCTACGCCGACCTACCCAAATAATTGTGTTAAAAGTAAACATATTACCCATAGTCTAATCTGCCCTAAAAATAGTTTACCGCCCTAAAAAATAAGTTATGTATTTATTTGTTTTTCTTGTTAATTTAGTGGTTTTAAACATTTTGATACAGTGATGGGCGATTATATCAATACATTCAAAACGACTTTTTCTTTAAGTTCTGTTTCCGAATTACAATTGTTTACAAGTAATAAGAAAGAAAAGATTTTTTAATTGACAGCTTCTTTTGACTATGTTTATTTGTATCCATGCTGTTTAACAGCTTGATATAAATTAAGATTTAAATCGAAAGTCCTCTTTATTGTAATGATATATACTCGCCTACCATTGTCCTGGACCTATGCAAGCCTTCTTATGGGGTTTTAAGCTTTTTTAAAGAAAATGTTTAAGCTTTACAGAAAGAGATCGGCTAAGTGACATATTTTTACAGAGACTGTATTATGGAGCAAAAATTTCGGATTTATTTGATAACAATGAGACGTTGTTATATTTTTTGTCCGAGTTATTAAATAATTGTGTAAAAACCTTTCTTCTGCGGACAATCTCCTCTGGTGAAATTTGACAAATGATTCTTATCTCTCACTTAGAAATAACCCACCATAAAGACGTCTTATTGTTATCAAATGAATCCTAAAAGTGTTCTCTATAAAACTGCACTCTATGTTTAAATATGCTACCCTGCCGGTCTCCCCGTTTAGACCCTTGCGCGCCACCTTATTTTTGATATAAGGATATAAGTAAAGAATTCCGTTTAGCCATTGCCACTAATTTAAATATGGATCTCTTATTAATTGAATTATGACATTTGAATGGACAAATAGATAGATAGATCTCACCGCCTTTGCAATTCTATTGGTGCTGAGTATTCACCAAGCATGTAAGTGAACTCTGATTGGATCAGAGTCTAATGGATATAACTACTGTTGCGCATGCACCCCTTTCCTAATCATTTTTAGAATGCCTAATATTTGATGATTTCCTGATCTCTCTAGGCATGTTTTGTGTTGCTTGTTGGCAGCTGTTCCTCAGCTTCGCGTGGTCAGGAGGTGGGGGAATCAGCTGATTTGATTGAAGCGGTGACTGAGTCTGAAACTGCAGATTCTACCACTACAGAAGCTGCTGTAGTTATCATCAATCAGATCAATGATATTAATGAAGATGGCAGCTATACCGTAGGTTAGCTTTAGATATATTTACTTCCAATCTATGGTCAATGCATTGCTAATAGATGTCCTATTTTGAAACATAATGATTTCCAGGTTTTGAAGCAGCAGATGGAACATTTAAGATGGAGACTAGAGATACAGAAGGGAATGTAGAGGGTGAGTTTACAATTTAAAAAGGTATGAAAAGGGAACTTTTGAATAAAATATTCTGGAGGGATTAATCTCCCACCACAACTTAATCTGTTATTTATCAAAGCCTATAATTGATCTCTAGATGAGAGTGAGTTGATCTAACAACATTCATTAAAGCATTCGAGATCAGTTAACCGTCTTCTGATGTTCTGGAAGAATATCAATTATCAAGACGTTATGTTTTTACAACCATCTTCTTTCAATAAACTGTTGATTTTTGAAAGAGAAAAATAAAAACCTAACATTGGTTACATATTTATAATTCTAGGAAAATATGGATTTTTGGATGAAAGTGGGAAGATTGTTGTTGTTGAGTATTCCTCCAACAACATTACTGGCTTCACAACAAACAACAGTCCAGCAGAACAGGTACTCTAGAGGAAATGATAATGTTACCAGGAGAACAGGTATTTCACAGGAAATTATAATATTACCAGGAGAACATGTTCTCCAGAGGTAAGGGTAATGTTACCAGGAGAACAGGTACTCCAGAGGTAAGGGAAATGTTACCAGGAGAACAGGTACCACAGTGGTAAGGGTAATTTTACCAGGAGAACAGGTACTCCATAGGTAGGAATAATGTTGCCAGGAGAATAGGCACACCAAAGTAATTGATAATGTTACCAAGAAGAACAGGTACTCCAGAGAAAAAGGGTAATGTTTCCAGGGGAACAGGTACCACAGTGATAAGGATAATGTTACCAGGAGAGCAGGTACTTCAGAGGAAAGGGCAGTGTTACCAGGAGAACAGGTACTCCAGAGGTAAGGGTAATGTTACCAGGAGAACAGGTATCCCAGTGATAAGGGTAATTTTACCAGGAGAACAGGTACTCCATAGGTAGGGATACTGTTGCCAGGAGAATAGGTACACCAAAGTAATTGATAATGTTACCAGAAGAACAGGTACTCCAGAGAAAAAGGGTAATGTTTCCAGGGGAACAGGTACCACAGTGATAAGGATAATGTTACCAGGAGAGCAGGTACTTCAGAGGAAAGGGCAGTGTTACCAGGAGAACAGGTACTCCAGAGGTAAAGGTAATGTTACAATGAGAATAGGTATTTCAGATAGAAGGGTAATGTTACCAGGAGAAAAGGTAATGAAGAGGTTATGCCACCAAGGGAACAGGTACTCCAAAGGAAAGGGTCCTACCAGGGGAACAGGTAAAGTTGTTGTTGTATATATCAATACAATGAATGTAATAAATTCAGTTTGAACATGCATATATAAATTGCATTGTGTATTGTCCATATAACTATATGTGCCCGTTAGTAAATACGTAAATAATGTATTGTGATTAGCCCATTCAATGTTCATAGATATATATAACTTTGTCATATCCATATTGTGATTGCTTAACTACATTATATATATAACAGCGCATAACTTGTAACTACACTGTTAAGGACCCAATTCTAATCTGAACTGAAGATATATACCTTAATTATAGAAACTCTGCTTTCATTGCAGTGTCGAGTAATTGCATCCTCGTTGAAACATACGGACTGAGATTGTACCTCAGTATTTGGTACAGATCAATTAAAAGTTTATTTGATAGCTATGCTTGTGTCCCTGTCCTGTTTGGCATTTAGAGCTTAATTAATAGCTTGTTTGATAGCTACGCTTGTGTCCCTGTGTGACATTAACAGCTAAATAATAAGCTTGTTTGATAGCTACACGTGTGTCCCTGTGTGGCTTTTAGAGCTTGATTAATAGCTAGTGTCCGATTACAACAATAGCTAACGAGATCTCACCCAAAGGTAGTGGCATTGATAGTTCATGGGATTGTAGCTGGTGGATCGTGTCCTGTTTGACTTTGATATCGGACAGTTTGGAACGAAGTTTTAAGAGTACGGCATTTACTACATGAAGACTTCTTTCTATTTAAATTTTGATCACTTTCAAGCTTTCAGACAGCAGAAACGTTTAAACATTTAAACAAAAAGAAGCTGTTGATTAATAGCTTGGCTTTGTTTACTTGTAAACTTGTAATTTGAAAAATGCTTGATGGGAATCAAAGCAACATAAATATAACCCAGGAAACATTTAATCGACTATATGTGACGATGGTGAAGATTTCGGGTAAATAATTCTGGACTTATATGTTTGACATCGGTTTGTCGGAGACTAAATGTTTGCAGAGAAGTAGTTTTCATTGAATTGATTTGACATGATGGAAACGCACAAATAAAAATTCAAGGATGTAATGCAAGGAAAGTTATTTCAGAAGTGTACGCATCGTTTGTACCGCAGTGTACTGTCTCTGGGTGGTAATATATACACAAGAAGGATGTTACAGCCAGACATCATGACATGGGATCCATCTTTCACATAAAAAAATCAATGAAATATTCTGGTCATAGGAAACTATTATGTGAATCATCAAAATTATCAAATTTAATGCTTTTAACCTCCTCGGATACTAAACGAACACTGATGCATCTATTCTTGTTTACAAATTCCGCCCTAAGAGAACTGGTTTCAATATGTACGCAGAGTATACAAGACCGCAATTAACTTTCCTTGCATTACACCCTTGTAAAAATTAAACTCTGATACTCTTTGGTTAGCCTTGTATAGACTGTATATTTTTATTCTGATCAACAATCAGTTAATCCATTTTAGTACAATTCCTTACTTGGACAGCACATGCAATATTTCAATACACCAGACACGTTTCTTATCTAAACAGGAGATTATATAAATAAACAAGCAGTATATCGATCGATTTCAGAACATTTCCCTCAAAGTGTAATTTTTTGCTTCACTTGTTTTTGACTAGATATTTTAAACTGAGACAATTTTTATTCTCGCAAACTTCATAGTTTGAACATAAAAGATCTGCGACATCAGGTTGCAAAGATAAAAGGAATAGACAGCTATAATTTGAGACTAGTGTTTAGTTTCTTTAATTACAATGGCGCATATTGCAATGGGAGTATTGCAGTATTTCTTCACTAATAACTTTTGAACTTCTGATAAATTAATGATCAACTGTTGTTTTTATTTATGTTCAGGGTGTCCCACAAAACATGACAGTAGCAAGACGGCTTGAAAGTTATATTTGAACTTTGAATTTATTTGCGACATTCAGTCGTCAACCTACTTTCACTTGTATCAGTCTTGAAAGGATAATAAATTTTCCTAGTCCTGGCATTTCCAAAATGTGGTCTGTCTTTTTTGTGTGCTGTTAATATTACCCGAGATATTGAAAGCACATAAAAGGCAGACTACATTTTTGAAAAGCCACAACTGGGGGTATTTTGAAATTTTAACGTTAGAATTTTATTTCTAAAATTAGTTTTACCAACAAATGCCGCAAATTATTTCAAATATCTCAGACGACCTTCAATTCGTCTTTTCCAACTGTTATTTTTGTTTGAAGGAACTATCTGAAGTACAAGAGGATCCGGCCTTTGCTCAAGAGCGCGCCCGACACGCAGCTGTTATTCAACATCAGCGCAGGTATAATATTTTAGAAACATTATCTTACAATGGTCTCCGTCAGAGGCGTATTCAGGGGGGGGGGCTATGGGGGCTAAGCCCCCATGGACCAGTGAAATCTAATGATTTCATGGGGGTTTTCAGGCCCCAAAGGGTGCTGAGCCCTCCCCACCCCCCCTGTGATACAGACAGAGACATGTGACCACTATATTGCACTACCATTGGTGGGAGTTCTGGTGACATAATACAGACTTATAAATAATATTAACAATATCCATTAAAAATAAAAGTGAAAATTATAGAATAATAATTGGAGAAAACTTAAGTTACAATTAGGTTTCTCTAGGATATCTACGTTTTCAGATTGGTTGCAAATTTGCTGAATATGATCTGTTCAAACCTACTATTTCCATACAAAATTCTATATATATAAATTTTCTTATAAGTTTGACAATGTTTTATATCAATTTATCAAGACAGGAACATCACATATATTTTTCATGGGTCGCGATCAAGAGCTAAAGTGATTAGCTTTCAGTCTATACCCCCTTTCATTTTTCCTTTACAGTCCCTTTAAGTCTAATGACTCTAGTATGATAGTATCTAATCAGCATCTATCTATATATTTACTATGTTTGTCTGGGTGGGACCTTACATGACCCCAGGAAAGTTTTTTGGATGCTCACTTGCTCAGAATTACAAAAAGTTATCTCCAATAAATTATTTTTTCGTCGCCCTGATAGCCTAGCAGTTGCCCAAGGAAGTTACGTGCACTTGCCGCGTTGTATTACAAGAAGAGAGAGATTAGTATATATTTTAGGGTTAGGTCAGGGCCGAGCGCTGCGGATATGACAGACTTGGGGGCCGAGTGCCGCAGCTAAGACATGCTAGGGGCCGAGTGCCGCGGCTAGAACAGACTCTCTCTCTGTCTTGTAATTCGACGCGGCAAGGGCACGGAACTTCTTTAGGCTCTGCCTTGCCCTTAGTTCTACTTTTTTAGGGTTGTTGAAGAGCAAAGAGAACTGGAGGAGAAGAATAAATTAGCGATACAAAGACAAGCATTCGCTAATCAACAGGGACAAAGGTAAAAACTTAAAACTTTAAAATAACAAAAAAAAAATGAAAATCTGTCTTTTCTATTAAAATAATGTTTGACTATTATATTTCCAATGAAAAGATATTAATCGAGATAACTTTTGAATTAAAACTGTACTCTACTATATTTTATTCTGTTGCTTTTAATATATATTTTTTAACGCTCATTACACGTTATATTTTAAAATTTAAAATAAAATACTGTGGCACTAATTAGGTTACAGAGATCCCAATAAAACTGTGGAAAGGGAAGACGTCAAGTTTATATTTGATTTAATGTAAATATTGTGTATTTTATCTTTCATTTTAATTTTATGGTAAATTTTGTTAGTGAAGTTCTATAATGTTCAATTAGCATTTATATATTGTATAGTTCAATTGGTTCCCAAAATTTACTAAAAAAAGGATATTTCTAGGTTGACCTTTTCAATTTAAAGTATCTAGATTATCTAGAAATAACCGTTGAACGGTTGCATCGGGACAAGAACACAAATATTTCATAAAAAACACTATTATTTTGGCACGATGTTTATAAATCTTTCTATAACAGGCTTGAAACTTCTCTTTAAAGGGAAAATTTCTGTCCAAAACTGTATACCAGAAAACAATGGAATAGGAAAACGAAATTTTAACAATACTTAAGAGTATTTGATGTTACATAGCAAATAGTTTTAATAAAACCACTAATTAAGTGAATTGGGACTGCAGTTTACACCGCACAACTACTATGTCTATAAATGCTCAATGGACTTTTTGAATTTTAAACTTGATCCTACAAGTCTCCTTCAGATTTCAGAGTTTTCTGGTTATCACTGTAGAGACTGTAAAACTTCAAACCAAAGTAATAGTGTCCTCTATAAAGTAGTAATCTCTGTTTATTTCTCTGTCCCATTAAAACTTTTATTTTTGACTGATTTGCATTAGATTTTTACTATAGAACTCGGAGCCATGGTTTAAAATTTTAAGTTTAGAGTATCAATTTGTTAAAGGAAAATTCTAGACAAAGCTTGATTCCCGAGCTAGTCATTTTTTTGCTATAACTAAATTTAATTAAGGCGTCCAGTTTTCAATGCTGCACAGTTCAACCCTCGAGCTCCTCTTGCTGAACAATTTGATCAGAAAACTTTTAACCAGGACTTCCAACAGTTTACTTCCCAACAACAACAGCAGTTTGCTCCCCAACAACAACAGTTTGCTCCCCAACAGCAACAGTTTTCATCCCAACAACAACAGTTTGCTACCCAACAACAACAGTTTTCTCCCCAACAGCAACAGTTTTCATCCCAACAACAACAGTTTGCTACCCAACAACAACAGTTTGCTCCCCAACAGCAGCAGTTTTCACCCCAACCAACCCAGTTTTCGCCCCAACAACAGCAGTTTGCTCCCCAACAACAGTTTGCTCCCCAACAACAGTTTGCTCCTCAACAGCAACAGTTTTCACCCCAACAACAACAGTTTGTTCCCCAACAACAACAACAGTTCACATCTTTACAGCAACAACAAGCAGTTCAATTTAGCTCTGAACCAGCTCCTCTGTTCCAACCTCAGCAACAGTTGTCAGAAGTTCCTATTAATCAGCTGACTGCTGAACAGATTGCTCTGGAAGGGTTCTCTAGAGATGATGATCAAGATGGAGAGATTGATCCTCTTCCGGCTCATCTACTCCAGCAGCAACAACAGTTTCAGCAGCAACCACAACAATTACAGCAACCACAGCAGTTTCAGCAACCACATCAGTTTCAGCAGCAACCACAACAGTTCCTGCAGCAACCACAACAGTTTCAGCAACCACAACAACAGTTCCGAGATCAACAGCAGTTACAAGACCAGACCCAACAACAATTCCAGCAACAGTCGTTCCAAATTCTCCAACAACAACAGCAACAGTTCTTCCAAGAACAACAACAAGCTTTACAACAGCAAGCAGCCCAACCTACACAACAGTTCCGAACTCCCCAGCCTGTTGGACCATTCCCTGTTGGCGAGGAACCAAACCAAGGATCTCCGGAGATATCAGAGGATCAGTTAAACCAGCTCCTCCGTCAGCAGGGATAAGAGGATCAGTTAAACCAGCTCCTGAGCCAGCAAGGATAACTTGATAAGAAGATTAGTTAAGCCAGCTCTTGAACCAGCAGGGATAATTATTATTCTTTTAATCTGGATTTTGAATTAATACTGCTTAAAGGGTGTGTTCATGATTTTGAAAAGAGGGATAAAGGACATATTTATCATAATGAAAGAATGCATTTAAAAATAGAAATCTTATTTTTTTTCGTCTTTGATCTTTAAATTTATTTTGTGACTTTCAGTCGTCAACCTACTTTAAGATTTATGATTCTTGAAACAATGACCTAAAATTCCTCTAAGTCCGAATTTTCCAATCAGTACTTTATGCAAACATATGACGTCTTCTCTTATTCACGGTAAAACACGACCCCTCTCGACGAAACCAAATTATGTGCTGACACCTTGGGGTGAAATATGGTGGACAAACACATTAGAGTACGGAGGCATACAACGTACGTCATAAATACGCCCATTAATTTGGGAAAATTCGGGCTCAGAGCCCGCATCTTGCCATCCGTACTTTTTTCAAACACATGACGTCTCCCCTTACTCATGTTTTAAATACAAAGGAATTGTTTAACAGTGTACTGTCTAAATGCGATCTTCCATGACATTTAATGTCCTACAATAAACTGCAACATGGCGCAACCCCTATATACGAAAACAAATAGAAATACACTGGGAATAAATTTTCAGGGATACTTTTGGTTGACGACTTGGAAAAAATGTTAAATTCTCAAGAAACAGCATCAGATTATCTAGTTTTCGTAAAATAAAACGACAAATACTATATTTTTTATTTAGTTTTTTTTTTTATCAAAATCGGATTAAATTCGACTGTTTGGGTTAAATATAGTTAAAAATTTGTGATTACGATTTATCCCTGGGGTTAAAAAGTTGTTTTGTTCGCAGGTGCTGACACCTATAAAAAGGATAAAACACGGTGAAATTGCGTGAGTTAATCATGACGTGAGTAAGTCTGTCCGCCCGAAAATAACTAGCGGGAGACATCTAGCGGACAAACACTGTAGAGTACGCGACGTCTTAAATACGCCCAATTAGTTGGGAAGATTCGGGCTCTTGTCCTAACGACGACCTCCAAGTCGTTTTGGTAACGTCATGTTTCGTGGACACCCTGTGTATTATAATCTGGCTCATTACAAAAAAACTATTTTTTCAGAAGGGATTAACGTTTAACAGTTCAAACGTTTCGACTTCGGGTAATAGATGAAATATTATGATGTATAAATCTGTTACAAATGGATTTTCTATAAGTAATATGTCCTTAGTCCTTAGCACTTACAAATTCTTATTATTACGAGGCAACCTAATGTTTCTAGTCGACTTTTATATATTAAGCAAAAAAATAAATGTAAGCTTATATATTAATGTATAATATATCTTATCATGGCAATCATATTGAATTTGAAATAAATTAAGTATCACTTAAAATTTTGCATTACTCAAATATTCATTACAAGGTTTACTTTCCTATAAATAATTTTAGCTTCTAACTGTTGCTCTGAAAGTCGGTCATTTTAAATCAAATATTGGCGCATTTCTTTTTCAAATGGCCTCGTATTTTCAGAACAAAATTGCAACCATTTCCCAGGAATCCCCCCCACCGAATATCATGTTCCATAAACCTTTTCTGTAGTCATGTGAGGTCTTCCGAAAAATTTAGGCCGGATCGGTTCAACCGTTTATCAGTTTACAAACAGACGAGCGAAGTATATATTTATGTATATACACTACAGGGTGGCCAAAACTTTTTTGAAAAAATCCGTAAATTTTCAGAAGAAATCCGTACAATCCGTACAATTTTCGAAAAAAAAAATCCGTACAATCCGTACAATTTTTTGAAAAAATCCGTACATTTCTAAAAAAATCCGTACAATTTTCGAAAAATTCCGTACAATCAGTACAATTTTCGAAAAAAATCCCTGCAATCAGTACATTTAAGAAAAATAAAACCATTTTTGAAAATATTATTTGTAGGTATTTGAATGCTTGAATGAGAACCCGGAAATAATGAAAAAATAAGATCAACTGAAGAAACTCAACTTAAACTCAATTTTAAAATCCTTTTATCTTTGAAACCGAAAAACCTTTGGTTTTTGAAACGAAGCCTAATTAATCTGGCAGAATTCACAGCTTATAATAACAAAAGTCTACCACATAAGATTGCAAAGATATAAAACTTAAACATTACTATTAAACACTAGAGAGCTGGAGAACTAGAGAACAAGAGAACTTAGAACTTAGAACTTAGAACTAGAGAATAGATAACTAGAGAACTAGAGAAATAGAGAGCTAGAGAGCTAGAGAGCTCTAGAACTAGAGAACTAGAGAACTAGAGAACTAGAGAACTAGAGAACTTGAGAACTAGAGAACTAGAGAACTAGAGAACTAAAGAGCGTTGATTCTAATTTTTAAACTGTTTAGGCCATTTAACAACCAAACAATTAAGTTATAATTAGAAAGAGTGAAGTGTAGATTTAGGATCTAATATAATTAAAAATAGCCTGGTACAGGGGTTGCACACTCAATTAAAAGAAAGTTAATATTAAACTAAAAATGAAAAGATTTACAGATAAACGGAAGAAACCTGAGAGGATGTTCTCAGATCTGATAAAGAGACAGATAGATAGATAGATAAACAGATAGATAGACAGAGAAACAGATACACATATAGATAAACAGAGAGACAGATAGGATATATAAACAGATAGATGAAAAGATAGATAAACTGACATGCAGATAGATATACAGATGGCTAGACAGATAGCTAGACAGAAAGCTAGACAGATAGCTAAACAGATAGCTAGAGACAGATAGCTAGACAGATAGACAGATAGATATACATATTCTCAAATGAACACTTCTGGAACATATTCTCAAATGAACACTTCTGGGATCTCGAAAATTTTGAATGAATTTTGATTGTCAATTGAAACGGTTATCAATCTAATATTATTTAGAATGAAGAAAATAAGTTAAACTAACTTCATTTTGACGAGATTTTATTTTGAAATTTTCATGAAAAATTTGCTGAAATGAGTGAAAATTAAAAAAAGGTGTATTTCCAGGATAAAAATCCGTACAATTTGAAAAAAAATCCGTACAATCCGTACATTCCGTGCAATTTTAGAGTTACAAAATAAAAAATCCGTACAATCCGTACATTTTGGCCACCCTGTATATATATATATTTATGGAGCTCATGGAGCAAATCAAATGCAATAAAATACTTGCCGCCTTTCATATATACAACATATAAATAAATTTCTTTTATTAAAGGGACAATTGACGTAATTTCAAGTTACCCTTTTTGTAAAGAAAATATAATGCTAGATTTGAGCCAAAATAATTGAAGATATTCTCGTTTTCCTCAGGAATATAGATAATATCTAGTAATAGGTACAATAGTAATTTCTGCAATAAAGATAGGAAGAGAAATAATAGAAAATAATATTATTGTGAAAATCATTGTTTTCCCCAGAATGTTTTTTTTTCATGGTTTTTAAGGATTTTAATCCCTGAATTGGGGAAAATAAATTATTCTAAGGTAAAAATAATGAAAAAGTGTAAAAAAAAAATCGCCTTTTCTCGTCAAATTTTGTACAAATTCTTTAAAATAAACACCCCTGCTCAATGTTGAGATATAATCTTAAAAGGGCACCGTTGTGAATCAACCACAAATTGTACTTCAATGATTCCATTTTAATGAAAGCTGAAACTGAAAATTTAGGAAAAATTTGAAATTAAACTCTCACATTGGGTTTTTAAATGAAGTTAAAAAGGCTTTCTAAGATTTTAATATGATGCATGGTTTGGATATCACATTCTTGCAACACAATGTTTTCAAAATAGAGTTTTTTTAAACGTTAATATTCTTTGCACTCTCAGTATGGCTTTCACATTCTGCATGTATTCAACACATTTTAACATAGTTTTTAATATAAGATATAACCTAATATATATGTATTCATTGAGAAAACAATAGATGAATGAAATACAAGAAATTTAAATGTATATTTCTAAATTTTAAAAATGTAACTACCAACATTTTTGTTATAAGGACAGATTTTAAGTATTTATATAATTCTTTTTCTTGGTTTCATAATCTTGGTCGTTTGCTGCTGCTAGATAAAGAATCATCTGAAAGACAGGATTGTCAAAAAGAGATTGTTGTTAGGTTAAGATTAGGTCAGGTTCAAGAACTAGGTTAGGTCAGGGTCAAGGACAAGATTAGGTCAGGTTCATATCAAGATTAGGTCAGGTTCAAGGCCAAGATTAAGTCAGGTTCTAGGTCTAGATTATGTCAGGTTCAAGGTCTAGATTAGGTCAGGTTCAAGATCAAGATTAGGTCAGGTTCAAGATCAAGATTAGGTCAGGTTCAAGATCAAGATTAGGTCAGGTTCAAGGTCTAGACTAGGTCAGGTTCAAGGTCAAGATTAGGTCGGGTTCAAGATCAAGATTAGGTCAGGTTCAAGGTCAAAATTAGGTCATGTTCAAGGTAAAGATTAGGTCATGTTCATGGTCAAGATTAGGTCAGGTTCAAGGTCAAGATTAGGTCATGTTGAAGGTCAAGATTAGGTCATGTTGAAGGTCAAGATTAAGTCATGTTCTAGGTCAAGATTAGGTCAGGTTCAAGGTCAAGATTAGTTTAGGTTCGAGATCAAGGCTAGGTCAGGTTCAAGATCAGAGATTAGGTCAGGTTCAAAGTCAAGATTAGGTCAGGTTCAAACTCAAGATCAGGTCAGGTTCAAGATCAAGATAAGGTCAGTTTCAAGATCAAGACTAGGTCAGGTTCAAGGTTAGGTTAGGTCATGTTCAAGGTCAAGATTAGGTCATGTTCAAGGTCAAGATTAGGTCATGTTCAAGGTCAAGATTAGGTCAGGTTAGGGTCAAGATCAAGATTAGGTCAGGTTAGGGTCAAGATCAAGATTAGGTCGGGTTCAAGATTAGGTCAGGGTCAAGAACAAGATTAGGTCAGGTTCAAGGTCAAGATTAGGTCAGGTTCAAGGTCAAGATTAGGTCAGGTTCAAGATCAAGATCAGGTTCAATGTCAAGATTAGGTCAGGTTCAAGAGGGTCAAGAATAGGTCAGGTTTAAGGTTAGGTTAGGTTCAAGATCAAGGTTTAGTCAGTTTCAAGGTCAAGGTTAAATTGGGTTCAAGAATAGGTCAGGTTCAAGATTAGGTTAGGTTCAAGATTAGGTTAGGTTCAAGGTTAGGTAAGGTTCAAGGATAGGTCAGGTTCAAGGATAGGTCAGGTTCAAGGTTAGGTCTGGTTCAGAATCAAGGTTTGGTCAGGTTCAAAATCAAGGTGAGGTCAGGTACAAGGTCAAGGTTAGGTCAGGTTCAAGATGAAAATTAGGTCAGCTTCAATGTCTAGGTTAGGTCAGGGTCAAGATCAAGATCAGGTCAGGTTCTAGATTAGGTCAGGTTCAAGGTTAGGTTAGGTTAGGTTCAAGGTCAAGGTTTGGTCAGGTTCAAGGTCAAGGTAAGATCAGGTTCAAAATTAGTTCAGGTTCAAAATTAGTTCAGGTTCAAGGCCAGAGTTGATAAGGCTTAAGGTCAAAATTAGGCCCGGTTCCAGGTCAAGATTAGGTCAGGTTCAAGGTCAAGATTAGGTCAGGTTCAAGCTCCAGATCAGATCAGGCTCAAGATCAAGATTAGGTTAGATTCAAGATCAAGATTAGGTCAGGTTCAAGGTAAAGATTAGGTCAGGTTTAAGGTCAAGATCAGGTCAGGTTCAAGGTCAAGATTAGGTCAGGTTCAAGCTCCAGATCAAGTTAGGTTCAAGATCAAGATTAGGTTAGGTTCAAGATCAAGATTAGGTTAGGTTCAAGGCCAAGATTATGTCAGGTTCAAGGTCAAGATTAGGTCAGGTTCAATGTCAAGATTGGTTCAGGTTCAAGCTCAAGATTAGGTCAGGTTCATGGTCACGATCAAGTCAGGTTTTAGGTCAGGTTCAAGGTCTAGGTTAGGTCAGGGTCAAGATCAAGGTTAGGTTAGGTTCAAGATCAAGGTTTTGTCATGTACAAGGTCAAGGTTAGACAAGGTTCAAAATTAGGTCAGGTTCAAGGTCAGAGTTAGGTCAGGTTTAAGGTCAAGACCCGACAGCAATTATACTTTTTGAAGAAAATAGGAATTAGGGAAATTTCCCAGATACCCAGACATTTGGAAAATTTTCTAAGCTATTTAAAATTCACCACCATCAGATTTTAAAAGGAATTTAGGATATCTCAGAAATTTCAAATAAACCATAAGATTCCATCCATCCAAAATATCCAAGCAAAAAGCGAAAATTCCCACACCCAGGCATTTGGAAATTTCCCAGATACCCAGGCATTTGGGAAATTCCCGAAGTTTCCCAAATACCTATAGGAATTTGAAGGTGTTATGTTCTAAAGATTTTGTAAATTTCTCAAATGACTGGATATTTGGTTGAATTTCTCAAAAACCTAGGCATTTGGAATTTGTTCTTAAATATTTAAAATACACCACCATCAGATTCCAATAGGAATTTGTGGAATCTTGGAAATTTCCGAAATACCATGGCATTTGGTATTTGGAAAATTATTTATTGAGATATTGAAAAATGTCATAGATGCAACACCTCCTTTGGGAAATTCCTATTGGAATCTGATGGTGGTGTACTGGAAAGGTTAGGTCAAGATCAAGGTCAAGATTAGGTCAGGTACAAGGCCATGGCAAATCACTTGTAATATTTACTTGGTGTGGCTTGTGAAGCTGCCTGGAATCCTTCAAGGTCCTCATGATGGCGCCTAGAGGACAGAAATCTTAATTTCATGTCATCCATTACACCCTCGGAACCTACAAGGTACAAAGTAAAAACAACATGGATTTTTCTGTATGAAATATCTAAATATGAATTAATACCATTTGATAAAGTTTGTCTTCAAATTTGATTCAATAAAACATTTCTTTGATTAAAAGGTTGAGTAGTGAATACTTGTTATAATTTGGTGATGGTGATGGACCAAACCTCTGTAGAGTAAAAAAAGTAGTCATTAGTTCCACATTCATTGAAAATATATTTCGGTCTGGGTTGACCCTTGTCAGTTCTTGAGATTGTTTCTGTCAAGAAGATTAAAAAATAATTACCTATTTCTATATTACTGCAGTTTGCAAGCATAAGGGACGATAGGAAATAACGACATGTGTCTTCACGTGATTTGCCGCGCACTACATCTCGGAAAGATATTGTAGTCTTCCTAATTAAATTCAAGACTTAACAATCAATCAATCAAGTATGAATATATTTTACAGAAAAGAGGACCGGGGGGGGGGGGGTTCCTCTTTAAGTAGTTGGCCATGCAAATTTCTACGATGCAACCTTTGAATAAATTAGCCGTGAGTACTAGTAATACTAACAAGAATTAATTTAAAACAATTTAGGGTAATTTTCTTTTTAATTAAAAATGACTGTTAGCGTCATATCAAATTTCAAGTGACCATCCGTTAATAGAGAGGAATGTCCAATTCACAACAGTATCCTTTAAAGTGTGTTCAATCAAGTTATTTTGCAACTAAATATTTCCATCTGTGGTTTCTCTACAAAAGGCCCTACACATTTTTTCCTTCAGAAACAGTGGAGAAGTTACTGTTGTGATTCGGACATGCCCCTCTTTTAAATGGAAGGCCACTTAAATTTAAATTCCAGTCCCTTTATGTGACATATAATTTTTTTATTACCTATTTTCTGATGGAAATTGTTCTAATATTTTAGACCCATAGAGATGAATATCAAAGGCTGCCATCTTCTCAACTTTTTCCAAGCTAAAAAAAATATTTTCTTTGTAGGTTGTATATTCTAAAGGGTGTTCCAATACTAGGGAAGTAAGTGACAACTTCTTTATTGTCTTTGTTTCGCGCAGCATTATGTGAACAATATTTTGTGGAATCCCAGTTCAAACAATTACCTACTTCTGGTCTTGGGAATTCCAAAATGTGGTCTACCATTTTTGAACCATGAAATATTGAGAGCTATTGAAAAACGGTCAAGATTCCAATTTATTAAATAAATTGTTTAAATGTAGGATGTCTCTATCGATTTTGAAGATCAAAGTAGGCAGGCCACATTTGAAAAGCTCACATTTAATCTTTTTCTGATACACTTTTTGTCATTTATCATCTATCGGAGATCAAAGACAATTTTGAAATGGTTAGGTTCTACTTCGGTAGAAGGCCTTAGAAGAATCCTTCCTCATCAGCCTATGGACGGGTTACTGCAATACATATACATCCCAGTTCTATATTAAATTAAGTTATCTTGACACCACGTAGACTAAGGGAGGTCGATTTCGAAAATTCCACTTGCTTCACCCAGAATAGCATACGTATTGGTTTTGAAACGTCCTTTAGAAAAGAAATAACCCGGTTTAACTCACACAATTTTTTAAATATCGAAAATTGAAAAATGTACCGTAATCCGAGGCCTTAGGCGGATTTTGGAAATTCCACTTGCTTAACCCAGAATAGCATACATATTAGTTGTAAAACGTCCTTTAGAAAAGAAATAACCCGGTTTAACTCACACAATTTTTTAAATATCGAAAATTGAAAAATGTACCGTAATCCGAGGCCTTAGGCGGATTTTTAGATACACATGTAATTGTATTGAGGGCATGTTTAGAAGAATTTTTTTATTACACTGTAGAATATAGAAACCCAATAGAACCAACCTTCTTCTTCTTCTAGAAGTATTTTTTTTACTTTAACCACCTGCCTACAATCTACATGTTAGAAAGTAGTGAGAGTACACCCTGATCATGATATTATAAAACTTACCGAGGAGAGATCATGTCGTGCCAAGTAATAACTTTTTTCATCATCTCCGTGCTCGATACCCCCGCCTAATTAAATTAACATTACTTACAAGTTGTGGAAAGACAAAAATTTAATTATGAATCCATTTTTTCTTCGTTCATCATTGATGTCTCTGCATTAGGAACCTTTCTTCGAAGATTCAGTTTTTAACTAATTGAACTTTTTGACACTTCACTACATGGACAGAAATAATACCAAAATTAGTAATTTTTCGATAGTTCCCAAATTCATTTACGCAAACAGTCCCTTTATCCTAATTTCAAATCACTGAACAACATGACTTGACAACTATAAACAAAATTTTTAAATTGTTTTTATTTTCTATTTTTTTCGATCCTCTTCCATAGGTTCGAACTCAACTAAAAAATATCTTCTAACCAAATCAAAGGAACATTATGTGTGTTTTTCATGGTATTAAAGGAAACAATGTTCAAAACTATATCTGTCTTACTTAAAAGGTCTGTAAACGTAATTTCAAGTCCAATTCACAACAGAACCATTCAAACTTTTGTCTGGTCTTGGTAGAAATTAATTACTTTCATTTATTTCTCTCTGAAAGTTACTTGCAAATTTTTACTGCAAAGAAAGTATTTGTAAGAATTTAACACTTTTCTAGATAAAAAACCGACGTTATCTTCATTCTTGTCACTCATTCAGAGATTAAGAGGCTAATGTTGTGAGTTAGACGTGCCACGCTTTAAAACGAGGGTCACTTGATATGACATGATCTGAAAACTTTAGAATTGTGGATATCGACATCAATGCTTAACTTCCTCAAGATTAATTTAATCTTTAGTTTGTATCCTGGAGAGTTTCTAAAATTCAACCAATCAAAATGGTGTAAACAGAAGCCGGGAATTTTGAAATTTTCCGCGCCATTAAATGAGAGAACTCTAATTGGTTATATTCCAGTAGGATTCCAAGAACAGGGAAAAAGAGCGGATGAAGCAGAAACCAGGTGTGTCCACAATGGATATTCAGATCAAGCTATCGAAATCAAGGGCATTTCTAAAACTTGCAGCTTTGTACTGTACAGTGCACACTGTACAATCTCTTTTATGTCAATTGAGTGCATCTACATTCTACATCCCACCTACCTGGGATTTATGTACAATCTCCGCAACTATTCTTATAACCAGATCTTCGTAACTTTCTTTCTTCCCTTGACTTGAAGATTGACTCTCTAAATTTAAAATACAAAATAATAACCATAGCCAAAAGCCATTAGTCATAAGAACAAGAATAATAATGATTAGAACAAAAACGATGACAGTGACAATGCCAACGACAACGACAATGACAATGACAATGACAATGACCCGACCCTTCCCATGCCCATGACCCTTCCCATGCCCATGCCCATGACCATGGCCATGCCCATGCCCATGCCCATGCCCATGCCCATGCCCATTGACCATGACCTTGACCTTGACCTTGGCATAGGCATTGGCATTGGCATTGGCATTGGCATTGGCATTGGCATTGGCATTGGCATTGGCATTGGCATTGGCATTGGCATTGACATTGACATTGACATTGACATTGACATTGTATTAACCATGATAATTACAATGACGAAGACAAAGACAATTATAATGGTAATTGCTAATAAAAATAGGCATGGAAAAAGAACTGCTTTTAAATAACGAATGTACTAATTCGAAATCATAAAAAAGATATAAGTAATTTAAAAAGTTTACCGAAATAAATGAAACCAATAAAATAAGCGAAATCAACGAAATGAATGGTAGAATATTATCAGTACTGTACTTGTATCTATATAATAAGTTTACCTGTACCTAGGTCTAGGGCTGGACCTACAGTTCCTCCCATGTGTGGATTTTCTGGAAATTCAAACTCAGGCAAAGGAAGAAAATCCTAAAATTCAAATTTATTTTGACAGCTTTTTAAAAAAACAATGCAATCTTTTTCTTTTGTCCTCTTTTGTTTATACAATGTCGCTTAGGAGTTAAAAGTTTCAACTAGACTTTTTCTTTAAAAGTACATTTTGAGATGTATCAGTTGCAAGGCAACAATTGAAAATTACAAACATCTTAATTTATATCAGAGATTTAACTCTTTTTGGGCTCCTGGGTGCTCAGCCCTGATTTACAGAAAAAGAATTAAGATGCAGTTTTTTTGGCGAAGTTTCCTGCCTCATTACTATCCAGGAGTCTGATAATTGATGGCATTAGTGTGACCAGCCACAGCAGAGTAAAACTTCATGATGTTAAACTTGAGAACTCGTCTTATTTTAGGCGGGTTCATGAGACAGTTGTAATAAATATTTCTAAAGCTCAAACCTTGCCCAATTCAATTAAGAAGAACTTTACAATCAACGTCCATGTTCTACACTACTATGGATCAATGACCACAATAGCAACAACAATAGCAAGAACAATAGCAACAAAAATTGCAACAAAAATTGCAACAAAAATAGCAACAAAAAAAGCAACAAAAATTGCAACAAAATGAAATAGCAACAAAATTAGCAACAACAATAGAAAAAACATAGCAACTAGAGCAACAACAATAGCAAAAGCATAAGCTACAACAATAGAAACAACAACAGCAAGAACAATGGCAATAACAATAAAAACAACAATAGCAGCAATAGCAATAGCAGCAATAACAACAGCAGCAGCAGCAGCAGCTAAAACAACAATAGCAGCAGCTACAAAACAGAACCAGCATTAGAAACATCAGCAACAACAATAGCAGCAAAAATAACAGCAAAAATAGTAGCAAACAAAATATCAGCAACAACAACAAACCTCTCAATTACCTGATCTTCATCATATTCATCTGGCACGTCATCATCTTGAACCTCATCATCCAAACCATCTTCTCTAGGTTCTTCAGCATTCTCTTCTCCTACAACACCTTCAAGTCCCCTAAATCAATATTTGTCATCCTTAAAATAACTGCATCAATATAATAATGGCGTTTGGAAGGTAAATTCTAAAATGTTGTGACCAGTATAAGCTTAATTTCACGTGACCCTTCTCAATGCAAGATGACAATACAACGGTGCTCTTTAAAGCTTTGTCTGATCAAGTATGAATTAGATATCCATATTTTTGTTTCTTTAAATTGTTTATTTTTATTTGCGGGTTCTCTTCAAGTGACTTGCACATTTATTGCTTATAAGAAGCAAATAAAGCTTTTAAGCGTACCGTTGTAAATCAGGCATTTAAATCTTTGCATAGATGGGTAACTTGAAATTAGGCTTACAGTCCCTTTAGGCTTTAACTGGAATTATTTTAGTTAAGAGATCTAATTTTTCATAAAAATTGGACCAGTCTTAGTATTCACTTTGAATGCAATCAAAAGATTATCTAAGTACAATAGAAAAACATTTTAAATGTTTGAAGGGACTGTGTCCACAATTTCAAGTGACCCTCCATGCAAAGAAGGGTTCATTCAATTTACAACGGTACCCTTAAAAGCTTTATCTGATGAAGTAAAGATTAAATATCTATGTTTCTTATTTGGCAAACTGATAAGTCATTCTTTTCAATTGTGGGTTAAAAGTGACTTGCGCATATCTACAGCAGGAACACAGTTAAGAATTATCAGAATTAAACCCCTTCAAACCTATAAAAATAACAATATCTTCCTCATTATTGACCAAAGAAAGGGTTCAAGAGTACCGTTGTACATTACGCGTACAGTCCCTTTAGTTCTGTATAAACTAAGGATAGAAAATATTACCTGTCCGCTACTGTTCTTCCTCTTTTCATCTTGGATTTAATAAATTTTTTTCTTCTCTCCTCCTCAGCTAATATATAATCATTGATCTCAGCATGTTTGCTTTTTACAACACCTAAAATCAAATCAAATCAAATTAAATCAAATCAAATCAAATCAAATCAAATCAAATCAAATCAAATCAAATCAAATCAAATCAAATCAAATCAAATCAAATCAAATCAAATCAAATCAAATCAAAATAATCAAATCAAATCAAATCTATATCTTTGTCTCAAGCATAAAAAACATATTTCAAACATATTTATGTCCATTTACAAAATAAACAATTCAAATACAACTGACACCCAAACATAAATGCATATAAGATTGTTTACTATAATTTGAGAAATTAAGTTTGAATGACGTCATTTTATACCAGAGCCGACTTTTGGTTGTAACGTCCAGATCCAGGGTGTCAATTTTATCAATCAAATCAAATGGGTCATTTAAACAAATGACAACCTTTCATTTAATCAATAAACTTTAAAATTACAAATTCTAATAAAAATGCCGCAAATCCACTAATACGAAAATTCAATCTAACCAGAACTCAATTATTGACTAGAAAATTCAATCTAACCAGAACTCAATTTTTGACTAGAAAATTCAATCTAACCAGAACTCAATTATTGACTAGAAAATGTATAACCTTCGAATTGAAGGAATTCAGCAACAGAGGGAACCATGTTTTCTTTCTCCTGAAATTTAAATCATTAATAAATATAGATGACATCAAGATGGTGTATCTTTCGACCTATGCACCATCCGCTATACTACACTTATCATGGTACATGGTTTAACAGCTGCAAGTTGATATGTGGCCCCAGCGCCCGGCTCCCGTAGCCGAAGCGCTCGACCCAGAAATTGTCTAAACCTAACCATAACCCTCAAATAATAAAGGGGATGGTGGAGTTGGCACATTTGATGTAGGGGGGGGGGGGCTGCCTT